TATTTTGTTTTGTATTTTTGAGCTGCCCTTTGAATATTCTGTTCAGCTCTCTTATTTAATTTTTTCTTTTTAATTTAGCTTCTCTACATTCTAGAGCAAATTTCAGAACATCCATTTTTGGTCTTTTTTCTTTCTTGTCTGTTTAATGATCTTTTCGTTTCTTCCCATATGTCCTTGATGTCATCGCACAACTCATCTGGTTTTCAGTGGTTAGTGTTCAATGCTTCTACTCTATTCTTGAATTGACTTTTAAATTCAAATGGGATAAACTCAAAGTCATATTTTCTCTCATGGGCTTTTTTATTTTTATTCAGCTTCAATTTGAATTTGCATATGAGCAATTGATTGCATGTACCACAATTGCACCTGGCCTTATTCTACCTGATGATATTGAACTTACTCCTTTGTTGACTTTAGGGGGAGGTTCTTGTCTCCTGTTGACATTTGTGGGCCTTTCATTCTTTGCAAATATCACAGTGTCTTGGCTTAGTATTTCCTTAGTATAGGAAGGTTTTCAGTGCTGAGACCCTGGGTCTAAAGGGCGTGTTCCACGTTGGCTCTTCTTTCTTGGTAGTAGTTAGGTCTTTTTTTCCCTGCTTGCTTCTCTTTCCTTTAATGTCTTATGAGATAAAAGGTGATGTATGCTACATTTCAGGGAAATCCCACTTACATCAGATCTTGGCTGTGACTTGAATAAGGGTGTTGCACCCCATTCTAATATTTCTTCATTAATATAACAAACATAACCTAATCCTCATCAGTATTACTTAATACTACCTAATTAACACATAAGAGGTCAGGATTCACAACACATTACAAAACGGAAGATAATGACATCACAAAATCAAGGCCATCCTTACAGAATTTGGAATCATGATTTTGTGAGGTTGGTATATATTTCTGGAGAACAGTATTCAATCCATGACACCCTTTAAGCATGTAATCTTTTGAGAGTAGCTTCTTTGACTCTTCAAAATTACTTTGAGAGTCATCCATATGTGATGCTCATCAATAGTTCCTTTTAATTGCTGAGTAGTATTCCACTGTGGATGAATAAAAATTTGTTTTCTATTAATCTATTTAAAGACATCTGGATTGATGA